ATTTAGACAAGTCCATGCTCAATAATCCAGGTATAAATCCTTTATTTCTACACGTAAATCCCATTGAGCCTCGATGACTCATTTACAAGAGAGACCTGATTTAACAAACAATGACAACAATGGACAACAACAACAACAATAAACAGTTATAAAAAGTCACACAGATTTTTTTTTAACAAATAGGATGGCTAAAAAAAGAAAAGTAACATAAAAACAGATTCTAAGGCGAATAAATTTTGCATGAAGTTTTTCATGAAGTTACCGTTTTCTAAACTTCACTAACATTTAATAGTTCTAAGAGTATTTCAGGTGAAAACTAAATAATTGATTTAACTTATTTTATTACTTGTTAATTAATATATTAATTTATCGGGGGGAGTGGTAAATGTAGCTGTTTATAAATAATTTCCATTTAATTTTCATTAGATGTTTTTTTACTGTTGTCATCCGTGTTCTTTATTTAAAACACGTCTCGAGTGCTCGTGGCTCAGTGCACGAGCGCTCGAGACAATAAAGGTTGAATTGAAGAGAAGAATAAAGCGACCCTGCGGTCGGAAGGTCGGTGGTCCGATTCCCGGACCGATGTGGGCGAGCTCGGCACCCACACCTGCCTCCACCTCTGGGCCCTTGAGCAAAGCCCAAAACGTATTCAACCTTTAAACTGAAATTATTTTTGATGGAGAAGAAACAAAATTTAAAAAAGTTCCAACTTTGTTTAGTGGAAAACAAACCGGATGGATTTTATTTGTTTGATTTTCAGGAACTGCTTCAGTCGGTTCCGGTCCGGATCTGCTGTTCAACGGTGGTCGTGCACACGCCTGTGCGTGTTAATGCGTGTGCTGATCAGGTTCTGAGTCAACGCGCGCGGCGCAGAGCCGCTCTCTGATTGGCTGCTGACTCTCTTCATTCAGCATCGTTGCAGCGCGTCCTCGTGAAGCCGCGCGTGCACCGCACAGACAGGCGTGTGAAAGCGGCACGTTCGGTTCGGCTGAAGTGGATCAGCTGGTTCTGGATTCTCGGTTCGGATCCGGCCCGCTGCTGAGAGAGGGGAAAAGGACATTTTTCCTGTTAGAACAAGCTGCCTTCATCACGTGCACAGAGAGCGCGCGCATCAGACCCGCCTAGCAGAGGTGAGACACATGCACACGCACGCGCACACAGATCTGGATCCAGAACCGTCGCTCAGACCCGAACCAGGACTGAAACATCCTTGTAATCCACTAAAATCTGATACTCTCATTGACTGTATCATCACACCTAACGTGCACGGATGGCGCGCGCCCGCGTGATGTCACCACTGATTGAACCTGTCATTGAACCGACCCCCCCCCCCCCCCCCCTCATCTTACCTGTCCATTAAATATCTGGGGCTCCTGCAGGAACCTTAGGGTTTCTTTGGTTCTTGGTCTTTATGGTTCACATGGACACTGGGGTCTGGGTCCTTTGGTCTTTATGGTTCCTGGGGTCTCTGTGGTCTTTAATGGAATTGGGTTCCTTTGTGAAATCACAAATGAGAACAGTTCGAGACCACCTGGTTGGGATGTCAGAACCAGGACAAAGGTTCCTGCAGGAGAGACCCTTGGACCAAGAACTGGTCTTACACTCAAAGTGGATCTGTTGAGACCTGCTTGTGTTTCCACCTGCAGACTGCTGGGGCTCCCAACGTGTCTGAGCTGCTAGAACAGGGCCCTTCAACTAAACTGCTCAGGGGCCACAGTTACTGAGAGCAGCAGCTCAGGGGCCACAGTT